CAGTGCAAGGGAGAACAGGGAAGTAATAGGGAATCATGAAAGATGATACAACCCACACTGTTCAAAACTAATTATAGTTGACCTGGTAATCTGTCTGGCTTTTTGTCCTCATCAACTAACAGTGGCTGGGATCTACTTGAACCTGGGGTAGTATTCAGATTAGTTGGATTTCTCAGACCATGTTTAATGGTTATCAGGGTCACACAGAGCCAGGAAGCAACAGGGAGCAAAAAGCAGTAAGAAACTCACCAGTATGAGCAGGGCTGTCCTCTGGAAGAGATGGGCTTACTGTCCATCATTGTGGGCAGATCTCATTGCAGGTCAAATTGAAAGTTGTCATGGATGTCCCAGTCTCCTTTCCTGCATCAGGAGCACTCCCATCCTCTTCTTCCTCTAAATGGCTAATGTCTTCATATTCTTTATATTTTCTCCTCTAATAAAGCCTGTTTTTGGCTGGTGCCTAGTGATTGGGGAATGGCCAAACAAACTGTGATATATGAATGCAATGGATGCTCATACAATAAAAAATGAACAATAAGAGGAATTCAGACAAACATGGGAAGTCACATGAAATTGATGCAGTGTTATATAAGAAGAATCAGAAAACCAAGATATATAACTATAACAACATAAATGAAGAGGCCACCAATAGGAAATCTAACTCAGCATGTTGAAGAACCAATAAGGGTCCCATAGAAGAGATAATGAAACATACCTCCCTCTCAGTTGAGGGGCTGGGGACTTCTACAGCAGAATATTGCATGTAGTCATAGTATCAATTATATGTTAACTGTTTTTCTTGGTTAAAAGGGAAGGTTAAGTTCCAGGAGTGGTAATGGGATAAGGAGGCAGAGATCTGTTCAAATTGACTTCAGTGTAAAATCAAAAAGTATCAATAAACAATTGTTCAGGGGCAAATAGGTGGCACAGTGGATAGAGCTCCAGCCTTGGAGTCAAGAGGACCTGAATTCAAATCTGGCCTCAAACACTTAACACTTACTAACTGTGTGATCCCATTGCCTAGCCAAAAAAAAAAAATTTAAAAAACAATCAATTTTTTAAAAGCCCCTATTCTGAAGAAATGATTTAACAAATCCATTTCTACTAAGCTACAGCTCTGAGATTAGATTCCGCTCAAACACCAACCTACCTTTTTAGACTTACCGCTCATCGCTCCTCCACAAGTACTTCATGTTTCATCCAAATTGAAGCATTTATTACGTACCATTCCCGAACTATAGCCTTGCATTTTCCTATTTTCACATCTTTGCTTTCAGACTGGGATATTCTCCTCTGACCTATGCTTTTGAAAACTCTGTCTACAGGGCAGCTAGGTGGCAAAGTGGATTGAACGCCAGCCCTGGAATCAAGAGGACCTGAGTTCAAATCCAATCTCAGACATTTACTAGCTGTTAAGCAAGTCACTTAATCCTGATTGCTTCAAAAAAAAAAACCCTCTGCCTGTCCTCCTAGGTGTTATTTAAAAGCCACCTCCCCTACAAAAAATGACATTTCACATTTCTATGACATTTTCACCCTATGAGATAGGTATCACAAGTGTTGTCACCCCATTTTACAGATAGGAAGACTGAGGTTCTGAGAAGCTACTTTCACAAGATGACATAAATAGTAAGCAACGGAGCTGTGCTTTGAACCTAGGTGTTTTGGCTCCAAGTCTAGCTCCCTTTCCACTAAAGCAATACTGCTCCTGATCCACGAGGTAATACAAACAATACAGCCAATGTTCTAACCCTATATCCTGCTCACCACCATGAGCATCTTCCCTTCTCCGGGCCTCAGTTTTCTTCTCTATAAAATGAGAGCACTGGCCTCTAGGATCCCTTCCTATTCTAAAGGTGAATGAACTCAACTGGGTTTAGGAAGCTCCCTAGTCCATGAGTGATAAACGCAACTGCACTCCCCTGGAGCACTGCTTCTCAGAAGAGAGGCAAGAAACAACTGCAAAGAAACAGGCTCCCTTCAGTTAGAGGAGGGCAAGGTGTACCGGCAAATATTCAACAACTGGCTCTCCTTTAGTTAGGGGAAGGTAGAGGTGTGCTGGTAAGTGTTTAACAACTGGGTCTCCTTCTGTTATAGGAGGGAGGGGTGTCTTGATAAATGTTTAACAACTGGATCTCCAGAAAGAAAATTTAAAAGTGCTCATGACACATTTTTAAACTTAATCTGCATAATTAACATTTTCTCTATCACTTTCTTAAGCCTAGACCACATGTTGTCTGACCACGTCAAACATGACCAACATGAGGTCCATAACACTCCTGAGCATGGCTCAAACTGGATTAAAATGTGGTTCCTATCTGAATTTAATATGTTGCTATGTTAATAAAAAGAGGCAGCTGGGTGGTGTAGTGAATAAAGTGCTGGGCCTGGAGTCAGGAAGACTCATCTTTCTGAGTTCAAATCCGACTTCAGAAACTTACTAGCTGTGTGACCCTGGGCAAGTCACTTAACCCCATTTGCCTCAGTTTCCTCATCTGTCAAATGAGCTGGAGAAGGAAATGGCAAACACCTCCAGTATCTTCACCAGGAAAACCCCAAATGGAATCACATAGAATAGGACATGACTGAACAACAACAATAAAATGTTGGAATTGAAAAGATCTTGGGGATCATCAAATCTAAAGCCCTCACTAGACACTGAGGAAACTTGTGGCCCAGAGAGGCAAGGAATTTGACCAAAGTCATTAGGTGCTAGGATTCAAATCCACATCTGGCTCCCGGAGCAAAGCATTCCAGGCTGCCACCCCTAGGGCTGCTATTGCTTTTCAAAGATGCCACTACAGTTTAGTTTAGTTTTGTTTTTAAAGAAAAGGGTAAATGGAGATGGATTTTGCCCATATACAGCCTACACCCTAACCCATCACTAAAACTCAGAACAAAAGGTAAATTCAATAATTCAGCAGAAACAGCTCAAGCCTCCAAGCACCAATGATGTGGTCCACAGAAAACTACAGGCTTCATTTCCACAGAAATCAGTGCCCCTGGCAGCCAACATAATTTCATTTCTCTTAAGAAATCAGCTGACACCACATGAGTAATGTGATTCGTGGTGAGAGAAATTGTCCCTAAAGAGTTAAAGGTAAATTCATTAGAAGTTAGCTATTAAACTTATTAAGAAGACAAGTATAATTTCTGGTATCACCATATTAAGGGCCATTTAATTTTCTGATGAACTGACAGAGATGAAGCCTTCCTTTGCCTGATTGCAGGTTGCTCTGGTGGTTGAGAAACAACATCTCAGCAGAAATAATTGAGGTTTGGGTTAAAGTCAGAAGATCTTGATTTTATTTTATTTGGGGGAGTGGGGAGGGTCCAGATGCAGACTTCTGATTTCTTTGTTGTAAGAAAGTCCTTTTCCAATGCAATGACTAGCCCATATTCATATAACCAGTATGTGTAATGGACAGAACTTGAACTCAGGTCTTGCTGAGCCAGAGGCCACTTCTTCATTGAGGTCACCACATTGCCTCTATTAGTTCCAAGAACTACCAAGTGCTTGACTAGCTCTTGGCCTTCAAATCTTGCTCATCTGCTTAATAACTATTTCTAGTACTTACCCCTGCTAATTACTGAATAATGGAAGAAAGGCAGTGTGGGACAGTAGAAATAGTATAACACCACAGCACTGAGTATTCCAAGTGGAATGACATGTTAGGGATCATTTGGTCCAACAGTCTCATCTTACAGATGAGCCACTAGAATCAGGGGTGGGGAACTCGCTGGACCATCCATAAGGACCCCATGCAGGCAGCATATTGACTTAGAAAAACACACATTAATTTTATCTATGTTCTATTGCGTTTTATTTATTTTGTTAAACATTTCCCAACTACATTCTAATCTGGCTCTCCACCCACACACTGGGGGGCTGATGGGGGGGGCAGCAATGCCGCCTTTGACACCACTGATCTAGTCCACCTGCTCATTTTATAGATAAGGAAATAGAGGCACAGAATAAAATGATTTGTCTGAAGTCACACAACAAGTAAAGAGAACACTCTAACTCAGTTCTTTTGAGTAAAGCCCTGCTCTTTATCCACTGAGTTTGGTTAATTCCAGTTAAACAAATCAAGGCACATCTTGGGGACAAGTCAGAGCCCCCCTCTCACTGACACATGTAGATTAGAAAACAGCCACAGAACAACTGGAAAGACCACGTCCCCTGGTGCGTTAGAGTCTGGTTAACAATCTTCAGGTAGCATTAGGTGAAATCAAGAAAACTGTAAGACATTTAAAAGATTTATAGGACCATAGCACTTCACCTTGTCCAACTCTGCCCATTCCCATTTTACAAATGAAAAAAATGTCCAAGGTCACACAACAGTAATAGCTGACCTTCCCATAGTATTGTGAAGAGGTTTTACAAAGTGCCTTATATGTATGATTTCCTTCGATTGCCTGATGACTTGTCCAAGGCCACAAAGCCAGTAAACAAAGCCAGAACAGGTGCAGTAAGCCCCAGGCCAGGGGGCACACACTCACACATTCTTGACCATCCTGCTGTAGCTAGTCTCTACTTCCTCTCACTTTTCATTTTCCTGGAGTAGAAAAAGGTTAGGCCTATTTCATATGCATGTTTCCCACCACCACCACCAATCTGAGAGGTAAAACAAACATTCGCCACAATAGTCTCCCCACCCATCTTTCCCAGGGATGACCCCAATTTTTCTGTGATTGCCAGTTCTTCAGCTAAGTGTTTTAATAATCAGAGATTAGGAACATTCTGAGAGGGCCTCAGCTTCTCTTCATGCCTTCGGTGCATGTGGACTTAATAGAAAAACTCAAAACCACTCACCTCCAGGGACCTCCTGCCTTCACTTCATTACCATGTAGACTGTGTGCATAACATTGGCAAGAGCTAAACAGACAATTCAATCCACAGGGTTTTTGCATATATATTTGAAAACCACACATATAAAAATTCAACCACCGCTCCCCTCGGTGAATTCTATTGCCTGTGGGAGCTGCACACTCTCCAGGGGCCTCAACTGTGAAGAAGCAGCCACCTGGGCCCCAGTCCTTGGACCAGGTGGCTGGCAGAATTCCCTCTGCTGGAAGAGCCCCACGGAGCTCTCCCTTCAGGGCTCAGGTGGCTATAGCCATTTTGATTTGGATTATGAAAGTCGCTCTTACATAGGCAGAGTAATACCTGTCCCCAGTTCCCCGAAGGATGGTTACAGAGAGAAAATGAAACAAACAAGGGAAGTACTTGGAAAAGCATTATACACATGGAAGGCATTTTCTCCCTCATGATAGTATCACATTCTCCAAAAATGTTTGTTGACTAATGACTAACAAGCATTCAAGACTTGTAATGACTTAGCAGAGGAAGACACTTTCAACATGCCAGTGAACTAATGTATACAAAGTGCTCTTCAGAGCCTAAAAAGCCTTATGTCAATGTGAACTCCTGTTATCAATGTGGCTGACATGGAAGCTTCACGTGAGCTCATGATAAAAGTTGTCCAGATTACATCATGGCACTTTGGGGAACAGTGCATTCTAGAATCATAAATGTCAGAACTGGAAGGGATCACACAGCCCTCTCCTCCACCTCCCCACTTCATTTCATGGGCAAGGAAATTCAAAGCCTAGGGAGTAGAAGTGATTTGCTTTGAGTCACACAGCTGGTAAATGGGAGGGCCAAGATAAGACAGATGGCCTCCCATCTCCTGGTTTCCCATTTTTTTCCTACTATGTCATGGTCACTCCCCTTCTGCCTCAGGACTCTCCAGGACAGTAAAAATATGATGACCAGACTTCTAGTTAAAATAGTGATGTCAAAGCTGACAGAGGACCACAGCTCTCCCACATATACTCCAGTAGAGATACAAAAAAAAAAAAGATTGAATGAGGGAGGGAAGGCAGGAAGGCAGAAAGGCAAGAAAGGAGGGAGGGAGGAAGGAAAGAAAGAAGGAAGCAGGAAAATGAGGAGGGAAACAAGGCGACAAGTAAGAGAGAGAGAGAAGAAATAAGGATTTATTAGTTAAGTGCCTACTATGTGCCAGGCACTGTGCTAAGTGCTTTACAAATATCTCATTTGACCCTCACAACGACCCTAGGAGGTAGGTGCTATCATTATCACCTTTTACAGTTGAGGACACTGAGGCAGACAGAGGTTAAATGACTTTCTCAGGGTCATACAGCTAGTTAAGTGTCTGAGGCCAGATTTAAACTCAGGTCTTTCAGACTGTAGGGCCAGCTCTCTAGCCACCACACCATCTAGCTGCCTCTAGAGAAAGAACACTAATAGAAAGAATGGTATGCACCTTAATCCAGACTAAGACTGTACAGAAAGGCAGCCAGGAGTGCTGGGTTCTGGGGTCCTTCCAGGGAAGATGGCAAGAACTTAGTAAAGGGACCTAAACCTCACAAGTGCATCCTGACTGGGGACAAGTGCAGGGGTCAGAAGACTGCAGCCCTTGGTCTCAGATACTGCTAGTACTCTGAGATAAACACAGAATAAGAGAACAGTAATTCCACAACTAGTAAAAGCAAAGTCCTTGAGGGGAAAAGAATGGTTTGACCACAAAGACTACAACCATGGCTTGAAGAAATGAAGCAAGAGATAGAAACTGAAATTACAAGTGAAATAAGAGCTCTGAAAGAAAGAACTGGAATGAGAATAAATAGCTTAGAACAGAAGGAGAAAAACCTTATCCAAGCAATGGAGTCATAGAAAATTAGGATGTAGCAAAAGGACTCAGTGACTCCATGAGACAAGGCTAAAAAAGTAGAAAATGTAAGGTCATACACTATTTAAAAACAACTGATCTGGAAGACATGCTGAGGAGAGAATTTAAATACCATTGAACTCTCTGAAAAACATGATCAAACAAGCAAACAAAAAAGTTGGATTCTACATTTCAAGAAATCAGGTAGAGCCAAGATGGCAGAGTAAAAGCAGTGATCTGCTTGAACTCTCCCCCAAACCCCTCCAAATAACCATAAAAATTAGCTCTAAACAAATTCTAGAGCAGCAAAACCCACAAAAAGACAGAGTGAAACAAATTTCCAGCCCAAGACAACCTGGATGGTTGATCGGAAAGATCTGTTACACAGGGCTAGGAGAGGATCACAATTTGGCATGGGCCATGCAGGCTGCACAGACAAAGACCAGACCTCAGGGAACCTGGAGCAGTCCTCAGGGGATTGAATCAAGAGGAACTGTGGTGATTTCCAGACTTCTCAACCCACAAACACCAAAGACAACTCAGAAAGTCAGTAGGAAAGGTCTGTCAGACCTCGGTGAGAGAGGAGCTTGGTCCAGCCCCAATCCTGGCACAGCCCTGCATTGGCGACTGCTTCTAGTGCTCTCAGCCCACAGATGGAGAGGGAATCAAGTGGCTGATCAGAGGCGGATTCCAAGGATCTCTGCTGGTGCTGGTGCAAGAGTCTGTTGCTTTGCCCATGCTTGGCTCGGGGTCACAGCTCTGGGTGACAATCCTGGGGTGAGGAGGAGTTCTGGTGTGGTGGAGCTTGTGGTGGCAGTGAAGAGGGAAGCCTCCTCATAGTTCCAAGGCAGAAAAGAGTGCTTGTGGTCACTCATAGGCCAGAGCCCAGACCAGGAAAGGAGTAAACACTTTGCCCTTGATTGTACCACCTTGGAACAATTCAAAATTTATAGGTCCCTAGAAGTATCTCTGAAAACAGCTGCACAAAACCCCCAAAGCTTGGGACAGTACATTCTCCACACTGGAAGCAGACCTCTACCTTAACAAAGAGTTTATAACTCAAGTAATTGGCTAGGAAAAGGAGCAAACAGCACAAAATAAAGTCAGACCATAGAATCTTTCTTTGGTGACAAAGAAGATCAAAACATACAACCAGAAGAAGCCAACAAAGTCAAAGCTCCTACATCCAAAACCTCCAAGAAACATATGAATCAAGGGGACAGCTAGGTGGATAGTGCACCAGCCCTCGAGTCAGGAGGACCTGAGTTCAAATCCGGCCTCAGATACAAACACTTACTAGATGTGTGACCCTAAGCAAGTCACTTAATCCCATTGCCTAGCCCCCCCAAAAAAATATATATGTATATATATATATGTATATACATATGTATATATGTGTATATATATGTGTGTGTGTGTGTGTATATATATATAAATATATACACACACACACATGTCAGTTCCAGGCCATGGAAGAGCTCAAAAAGGATTTTGAGAAGCAAGTAAGAGAAGTAGAGGAAAAACTGGGCAGAGAAATGAGAATGATGGAAGAAAACCATGAAAAACAAGTCAACAGCTTGCTAAAGGAGATCCAAAAAAATACTGAAGAAAATAACATCTTAAAAAATAGACCAAACCAAATGGCAAAAGAGGTCCAAAAAGCCAATGAGGAGAAGAATGACTTAAAAAGCAGAACTGGCAAAATGGAAAAGGAAGTCCAAAAGCTCACTGAAGAAAATACCTCCTTAAAAATTAGAATGGAGCAATTGGAAGCTAGTAGCTTTATCAGAAATCAAGACATTGTAAAACAAAACCAGAAGAATGAAAAAAGAGAAGACAATGTGAAACACCTCATTGGAAAAACAACTGACCTGGAAAATAGATCCAGGAGAGATAATTTAAAAATTATTGGACTATCTGAAAAGCCATGGTCAAAAAAAAGAGCCTAGACATCATCTTTCAAGAAATTATCAAGGAAAACTGCTCTGATAAGAGAGCAAAGGGATGATGGCGGGGAGGGGGAAGATTGGGGAATGGGTTAATGAGAAGCAAACATTTCTAAGAAGGGACAGGGTCAAAAGACAGAATAGAATAAAAAGGGGGCAGGATAGGATAGAGGGAAGTTTTTCACAACATGACTACTATGGAAGTGTTTTGCACGACTACACATGTATAACCTCTATCAGGTTGCTTGCCTTCTCAATGAGGGAGGGTGAGGAGGGGAGAAGGGAGAGAATTTGGAACCCAAAGTTTTGAGAACAAATGCTAAAAATTGTTTTCACATGCAACTGGGAAATAAGATATAAAGGCAATGAGGTATAGAAATCTATCCTGCCCTACAGGAAAATAGAAGGGGAAGGGGATAAAAGAAGGGTGGGGGAAAGAAGGGAGGGCAGATTAAGGAAAGGGGTATTCAGAATGCATGCCATCTTGGGGTTGGGGAGAGGTGAGAAGGGGAGAAAATTTGGAACTCAAAATCTTGTGGAAGTGAATATTGAAAACTAAAAATAAATAAATAAGAAAAAAAAAAGAAATCATAAAGAAAACTGTCCAGCAATTCCAAAAGACTTATGATAAAAAAAAAATGCTATCCACCTCCAGAGAAAAAACTGATGAAGTCTGAATGCAGACTGAAGCACTTTTTTAAATAACTTTATTATTTTTTGGGTTTTTTGGTCTGCATTTTCTTTTGCAACATGGTTAATATGAAAATGTTTGGCATGACTGAACATGTATAATCTGTATTAAATTGCTCGTCTTCTCAAGAAGGGGAGGGAGAAAGAGAATATAGAATTAAAAATTTTTTTAAAAAAAGTTAAAATGTTTTGTTTATATGTAACTGAGAAAAAATTAAAATTGAAAGCAAAAAGAAAAGAAAACTTTCTAGAACTAGAAGACAAGGTAAAAATAGATGAAATCTAATCAACTGAAAGAAACTCCAAACTGAAAGTACCCAGGAATGTCATAGCCAGAATCTCAGGGTTTCTAAGTCAAAGGGGAAAAAAATTACTATGAGCAACTAGAAGGCAAAATTTTAAGTAGTTCTACCTCACCTCATCATATTAGCAAGGATAACCAAAAGAAAAAAGAAAGAAAAAAAATGATGAATGTTGAAGGGCTGTAAGAAAATAGGCACTATTGAGGGAGCTGTGAATTGCTCCTATCATTCTGAAAATCAGTTTGGAACTATGCCACAAAAGTCACTGAAATGTGTATAATCTTTGACCCAGTGATACCAATACTAAGTCTATTTCCCAAAGAGATTAGAGAAAGAGAAAAAAGATTCACCTACAAATCTTGACAGAAGCTCTTTCTGTTAGAGCAAAGAAGTGGAAACTAAGGGTACTCATCAGCTGGAGAATAACTGAACAAATTATGATATATGGACTTAATGGAATACTATTGTGTTGTCATAAGAAATGGTGGCAGACTTACCTCCCTCTGGACCCCAGCCACTTCCCAACCTTAATCCTATCTAGCCTCCATTCTTCCTTGGCCA